TTCCTGGTGTGGCCTGCTGCCAGACAGTCCAGTTTCTCCCCCTATGAGTCTGGGTCCCAGAGACTTCCCGGAACAGGAGTTCAGAGCAGCCGGGGGCTTGAGACTCCCGATTCAAGAAGACAGCCACGTCCTCTCGCGCCAGCCCTTGCTGCATGCGCCTCCATACCTCTGCACTCCACTTCCGCACCTCCTCTGAGTCTCAGTGTTTTTCTCTTTCCTTCTAGTTGTAGATTTTCCACTCAGCCAGCCTTCCTGTGGTTCTGGATTGTCTGTTTTGAGTTCAGAGCAGTCGGGGGCTTGTGTCTCCCTCTCGATTCAAAAAGACAGCCGTCCTCAGTCGCCAGCCCTTGCTGCATGCGCCTCCATACCTCTGCACTCCACTTCCGCACCTCCTCTGAGTCTCAGTGTTTTTCTCTTTCCTTCTAGTTGTAGATTTTCCACTCAGCCAGCCTTCCTGTGGTTCTGGATGATGTCTGTTTTGTCTTTTAGTTGTATTTTTGAAGTGGTTGTGGGAGGCAGCAATTTCGGGTGTTTACCTATGTCGCCATCTTGGTTTCTCCTCATCATTGATGTTTCTATCTCTCTCCCTCTCCCTTCTGCTCTGCAATCAACAAAAAATATATATTTTTTAAAAAACCATGTTGCGCCTGGCTGCCGTGGCTCAGTGGTTAGAGTATCAGCTCACACACTGAAGGGTCTTGGGTTCAATTCCTGGTTAAAGGTTCGGGGCATGGCCCCAGGGGCCATGCAGAAGGCAGCAAATAGACGTGTCTCTTACATGCGTCTCTCTCTCTCTTTTCTTTCCCTCTCTCCCTTCCACTCTCTGAAAAAGCAAGGTAAAAAAAAAAAATCCTCAGGTTAGGATTAACAAAAAAAGAAAACCCCAACAATTTTGCAAAAGGATACATGACAAGAAACATAGTCATCCGAGAAACAAAGCTGAAGATAGACACTGTTTGGATAAATCTTAGACTGAGGAAAAGAGCCACATTATTTATGCTAAAACATTTTTAGCTCATTGTCTCTGTTGAAAGGTGAATGTATTATAAATTCCACTCTCCCTTGACATAGTCAATGACTAGAGCATTCTTCAGAGAATTTTGTGCCCTTGTAATCAAGAACGGTTCTTTCATTAATAATCATGCCACTTTTGCGCTGGCCGGTGTGCTCAGTGGTTAGAACGTTGGCCCATGCACCGAAGGGTCCCAGGTTTGATTCTGGTCAAGGCACATACCTGGGTTGCAGGCTTGATCCCTGGCCCTGGTGAGGGCTCCTGCAGGAGGCAACCAGTGGATGTCTCTCTCATATCGATGTCTCTCTCTCTCTCTCTTTCTCTTCCACTCTCTCTAAAAAAATCAATGGAAAAATATACTCAGCGGAGGATTAACCACAACTAAAAAACCCACACGCACTACTTCCAACCTCCAGAGCTGCTGAGAGAGTCCCAGGCAGTGCGGGAGTTTCTGCGCTGAGCTGCCAGGCGGGAATGCTGGTGCCTGGAGGGTAACTCCCCAGTGGTGGGCAGGACGCAGAGCCGCTGGCTCCTGCGGGCCGGGGACAGTGGCAGTTCATCAGGCTGTGCCATCAGGACATGCTGGTTGGAACAAAAATCAGACTCACTCGGTCGTAAGTCAGCCGGCCTGGGCTCTGTGCCCAACAGGATGTGCACGGTGGGAAGCAGCTGCCGAGGGTCAGGATTTATTTCCTGGGATGAGGGAGAAGCAGTCGCATCTGTACCGAGCCTCTCCCAGGACCGGGATCGGGGCTCGCCTGCCATTCCCATTGCTACCAGCTGCTCCGGGGAACCTTCAAGGGGAGGAGCACCAAGTGGGGGCAGGGGTGCAGCCCAGGGCCCTCTCGAACTCACAGCCTGGAGACCGCCTCTGGACGGTCCTCTGTGTGGGGAGCCCTATAACGTCGCCCATTTATCTCCCTCTGGCAACGGGCCTGGAGGAGGCAGGGCCAGCCCCAGAAAAGCACGCGGCCTTCCTTCCGGCGAACCTGCTCCGGTGGCCTCAGGCGGGCTGCCCGCCTTCCCAGGCGCACAGGGCGGGGCAGGGCAGTAGAACCCGTGAGCACCGAGTCTTGGTGGTCCATGTCCACGCGGCTGTGCAGGAAGCAGGAGGAGAGAGGCCACCAAAAGGCCCTTGTCCCCACAGGCTGGCACAGTGCCCGGTCCCAGACTCTGCCAGCCCTGAGGCCCACTGTGCGGAGGTGGACTGTCCTCTCGGGACTTGAGCTGCCCTGGTGGACATCTGCTCCACCTGCAGGCTGACCGGGCGTGGAGGAGGGGGCAGATGAGGGCTCAGGGCTTGGAGGGTGCAGGTCTCCCGGACCCCTTGCTCCCTCGGAGGCCCGGGGGGCTGGGGATAACACTGGCCGCCCAAGTGAGCCGCAGACGGACGCTGCCCCAGCCAAAAGGGCTTTTCTGGGCCAGGAGGTGCCTCTGAGGTCCTGGCCCGTCCAACTGGCCTGCGACTAGACACAGCTGTTTGCCGGGCACTGAGACAAGGCTGGCCCTGCTCCACTTCCTGCAGTTCCTTTTCCTGACGGCTTGTTTAAAGGACACGTCTAATATATCCAAAATGCCTACATTTGCGCGACTCCTGGGAACACACGAGAAGCTGCCATTTAATCCCCAGGGCAGGGCCTCGTGTCTCTAAGCCAAACTCCTTTTGTCCTGAAGGCTCCATGGGTCTCTTGAGCAGACAGACTAGTGGCCTGGGAACCCGCCACTTTCCACGGGGTCAGTGGTCAGCAGCACAGGGACTCAGGCCTGGCCACCTCCCCTGCCACGGGGCGCCTCGAGGGGGGACATTTAAAGCGTTTAGAACCGACTTCAGCACTTTCTGGGTGTCCCTTGCTGAGCTTGAATGGAATCCTTCCCTGACCTTTTAAACTAATTCAAAAAACAGACGGGGCGCCCCTGGGACTCTCCCCAAAATTGAGAGCTGGGATCACCCTGCAGGAGCCACAATTAAAACCCAAACACCGACATGCCAGGGATCAGACGATCTGGGAGGCTCAGCTTCCAGGAGCTGGCCACGCTGGCTGGGAACTTCCACGCTCACTGCCAATGACTTAAACTCCTTTCATTTCTCCTGTCCTCGGGAGATCGGAGAATGCAGCCCAGGAGGGTGGGCTCTTTATGACAAAAAAAAAGGGGTGCCTGGCCCTAGGGGCAGAAGCAGGCCCCTTGGAGCCCTCGCTCTGCATCTGTGTCCCGCCTGTAAGATGAGGCCAGAGTCCCCTCCGCCTACACTCAGCCCAGGAGACCAACACTCCCTTGCAGAGCAGAGCAGGCCTTTCTTTCTTTCTTTCTTTCTTTTTTTAATACTCACCTGAGGATATTTTTCTGTTGCTTTTAGAGAGAGTGGAAAGGAGGGAGGGAGGGCAGTGAAAGAGAAAGAGAGAAACATGGATGTGAGAGAGACGCATTGATTGATTGCCTCCTGCGGACACCCTGACTGGGGCTCAGGAATGAACCCATAACCCAGGTACACGCCTTTGGCCAGGAATCAAACACAAGACCCTTTGGTTTGCAGGCCGGCGCTCTAACCCCTGAGCAGCACGGTCAGGGCACGGGGCAGGTCTTCAACACAGGGCAGAGCAGAAACATGGATGTGAGAGAGACGCATTGATTGATTGCCTCCTGCGGACACCCTGACTGGGGCTCAGGAATGAACCCATAACCCAGGTACACGCCTTTGGCCAGGAATCAAACACAAGACCCTTTGGTTTGCAGGCCGGCGCTCTAACCCCTGAGCAGCACGGTCAGGGCACGGGGCAGGTCTTCAACACAGGGCAGAGCTTCACAAGCATGGAGGCTTTCTTTGTCACTTTGCTGATTCGGGCCAAGCAGTGCCATTGTCCACAAACAACAGGGCACCTGAAGCACCAGCCACACTTTACTGCATGAGGCTGCGGAGCACAGGATGCTCGCGACGGCCAGCAAGCGCATGCCCCTCCCTCCGCATCCGAGGAGGCCGCTGCACCGAGGCTGCAGGGTGCTGGGTGCTGGCCAGAGCGCACAGGGAGTGGGCTCAGCCTCACCTGTGCTCCTGGGTCCCAGGTGCTCCAGGGCTGGAAGGTTCTCTGTGAGACCAGCTCGGCTGGGCCAGGCAGGGCCGCACCTGTGCCCTCAGCCCACCCTTGCCACTACATGTGGTGGACTCCGCAGCGGCCTCTGCGTTCCTCCCCAGCCACGCGGCCACAGGGCGGGGCCAGGCTTGGGCTGATGGAGCGCAGTGAGGCCCAGCAGGAGTTTCCCGGGATCAGGTGGGTCCCAGTGTCAGGGAGACAGCTTGCCTCTGCCGCCAAACAGGCGGTCACTGCCTGGGGCTGCGCTTCCTTCCCTGGGACTGGCCCATCCAGCAGGTGGGTCTGCAGCCAACTCCTGCGCTCGGGGGGCCAGGCTGCTGGCTCAGCCGGGGTGGCTCTGAGGGGGTCCCCGGGACAGCCGCTGGGCAATGGCTCTGGCCCCGGCTGGTGGTGGAGCAGCTATAGAGGCAGCACAGACTGAGCAGCGGGAGGTGGAG